AAAAAATATACTACAAAAGTTTCTTCTACTACCATTTTATTAATGGGAGAAAGGGAATTAAAATTGGAAGAAGCACATCATCCATTATCTGATCACTTATGTTTCTGTCTGATAAACTAAATAAAGCTTCGTTCCAACACTGATAGGGGATTATAAATTTTGTCTTTATTGCAACAGTTTTTATCATTTTCATGCAGCAAAGACATACATTGAGTTTACCTGTAAATTGATATTAAATTGACTTAAAGTCTTTATAGAAGCTAAGACGTAGCATTCTTATTCCAAGAAAATCATATGTAGTTTTATGCCACTATGTCATTTGTGCCGTTAAAGATTATATTAAAAATACACTATTTTTTCCATGTGTGAGTTTGCAAGATCATGGTGTCACTCTATTACCCAAACATTCTGTTTTAAATATTTGAGGCCACACAAACTGTAAAGAAGAATCTAATTTAGTTAATTGTAGAGCAAAAGAAATTTTCTCCAATCAACAGTATCTTCTTGATTTTTTTCAGTCTTGAACTGAAGAGAGAGAATAAATAACATCCAACTCAAGTTTGTATTAAAAAGAAACCAGTTCTCTGTGGTCCTTAAATATGTTTCCTTAGCATTTTACATAATTTGCAATGTGAAGGAAAGGCTTTGAAACAAATATGACATTAAGGTTATGAAAATGAGAACTTTTTAAGCTGGAATTCTCAGAGGCAGAAGCGATCAGTAGAGATATTTTTGAGAAATGATTTCAATAAATAGCTTTTCTACTTTTAATGGATCATTAAAGTACAAAGCACTTCTTTTTATTCTATTTGGTCATCTTGTAAGTTTATCACAGCTGAGAAAATCCAATACGTAAGAATACATATGCTATTCTCCCCATGGTCAGAGAACTTCAGCTTTCAGCTCTCAGTGCATAGAATATTATATTATTTTTCTTCATTCTATGATTAAAGAAAACAACAAAGACTCCCAGGATTAAACATTTCCTGTCAGTAAAAGAACAGCTGTTTCAAAAACACTGCTTTGGGCCTTTGATCTTTCTAGAAAGTCGTTGCCCAAACAACTTAATCTACTGATGAGTATTCCTCAAATGTCTGCACCTCGTGCCTGGTATGGGCTAAGAAAACAGTAAATAACTTCTCAATTGGACTTGTCATTTTGGTCACATAGATTTCTCACCCCATAATAAAGAAACACCAATGAAAGTAGAACCAGCTACTAATTTGTTTTAATGACTGAAAAATTAGAAAAGAATTTGCTAAAAATTCTTAGTTTAATGTTCATGAACTTTGACTCAGAGGCACATCAATGATATCCTGATGATGGTGCATGAGTGTGTTTGACTCCCTGCTCTGATTCCCTGTCGCATCCTCATTTTGGCCCCCTTCATGTGATTCTACTACAGTTTCAATGTCCTTAACTGTCTAGTAGAACATTCTCTGATGAGGTGAATGTTCTCTTTATGCATTGTCTAATATGTAAGCACCAACCACATGTGGCCAATGAGTCCTTGAAATCAGGATTGAAAAGAATCAACTAGGAATGACAACTGAGAGGTCATTCTTAACATTTCATAGAGAAATTATGTGACATTGATGGAGGTAAAAGCCTATTGGTGTGGGTTGAGGAGTAAGTGGGGGATGAAGAGGTGGAGACAGCATGTGTACTGGGGGGATGAGGAGGTAGAGAGTGCCATGCAGTAGGTGGTTAAGTAGAAGATGGCGATGTTGGAGCTTTTCTCCAAACACCATTGATCTGGCAGTCATGTGAAAAATGGACAGAGGAAGGAGGACTGTAGAGTTTATGTTCAGCTTTTATTGAGGAAAAAGGAATCTGAGATTTTCTGACATTTAGTGAAGGCAAGTGATAATATGAGAATAAACTTTAGCTCCCTAGGAAGAATAACAATGTTTATTGTCCTTAATGGCACAACTGTTACCCAAATACATGTGAAATAGCTAGTTGCAAGATTTGAAACATCTGATTTTTCTCTGAAAAGCTGTAAGAACCCATGATACTACAAAAATGAAGTACTCTATAATTTCTCTTAATAAGAAATTTCATAAGTTCCTAATACTGAGATTGATTTGTCAATAGGAAAAAAACCCATGCATTCTTGCACTTCTCTATAATTACTTCTTGAAGCTATTTAGGTTACAAGTTCTGAAACACTAAAATGTAATTTCAAACTATACGGTCTATATTTATACAGAGTGAAACTAATCAAAAATTTGGACATGACTGAAATCACAGCATTTTAGAATTGAATGGGTGTTTGTTAAATGACTTCATTTAGTGGGTGAGGACCATGAAGCCCAGAAATAATATATGACTTAACCACATTTACCTAGACAAGACTCAGACCCAGGTCTTTAAGACTCCAAGCCTGGTGCTATCTTGAAAAAAGACTGGCTAGATGATGCACCAGGATATTTTTGGTATCCCTATACATTACAATAAGAGAGAAAATAGAAAATTTCTAACAGCATGCCTCACTGGGAACAGAAAATCCTTTTCTTTACATTTCCACAATTAGTACCATTTCCTCTTGGGCACATTCTCACCATTTGCATTGTGCTTCCTATAGTTTTCACTCATCTTTCAAACGTGTTTGGTAGTTATCCTGTATGCTAGGAAATCTGACCCAAAAAGAGGTGTCTAACTTTCCTACAATTCTTCAAAATGTTTCCTCCCTTACTGAAGATAGAGAAGGCAGTATATTGGTGGTTTAGAGGAAGAACAATGGTCTTTAAGGATTTAATTCTTCAAATCATTTCAGTATTCTGACATTGAAGTCAAAAGTTTTCAGTATTTTACCTATAAATAGTAGCTAATTCAGACTGTAGCATCCTGGTGTGTTTTGTGTTTGTACAAAGAAACTAGGTTCTATATTTTGCATAAGCTGAAGTTGTGGGCTGGTAATTTAGCCCATGGAAAACCTGGTAATGATATAATACGTAGGTGGCCAAAGGTTTTTTGTTTTTCTGTTTTTGTTTTTAAGGGCCTTTTAACTCCTTTGGAAAACCCTTTAAAGAGTGAAAGTCAAACACAGAATGGTATCATATATCCAGCTCATGACACAATAGTCCATTTCTGAAAATAATAACGCTTTCTCAAAATGAAGTCATTTATATTCTTAGCCATGCTCTATTGTGTGCCCTGAGTAATTTCTTGAGAGCAATGTTTCCTATGGCATATTGCCAAGACTGGCTTTATTTGTTTTTCATTAGGCTTTTTATTATCATGCTGCTATATACCTGGATCATTCTGCCTCCTCCGAGACAGCCAGGGTAGCTTAAGCACAGAAATGATGCTATGAGTAGGTGGAATGTTTTTGTCCAGTGAATGCCCATTTTAAATGCATAGCTGTGGTACTATTTTAATGACTTTAATCTTTCTAAGAACGGTCAATTATCCATTTATAACATAGTCTGATATTAAATTGTTTACATTCATCTATTCTGTGCCTGTCCAGGGAAAGCCATTAGTCTTTTCACCACACTAGACTGGCCCTTCCTCTTTCATCATCTCAGAAAAGGCATTATGATCCACATCTATTGCCCAAGCCTGGAACTGATGTGTATTCTGCATTTCTCCATCATTCTGCGCATTCAATCACCAAGTAAAACTTCTTGATAGTTTTTAAATCCACCCACTTCTTTCTGTCTCCCATGACCACTGCCTTAGTCTAAGCCCATGTCATCTCTAGAACAACTATTGTAGCCCCCTAATGGTGTCCATGCTCCCATGATTGCCCTTTCCTGTTCATTCTCTTTTGCTTCAAATGTCCATAGATAGCCATTGCTCTCCATAAATAGGTAGTCTGTAATTTCTATTCATGAGTGTTTTTGTTTTATACATTGATAAGGCAGAATTTGATTTGCCCATAAAAGCAGTGATCTGAGTTCTTGAATTTCTCTATGGACTCCTTAATTTAAAAGGAAGCTTTAGCTTGCAATATCCAAATGATGAAAATTTAGGGATGAAATAAGCAATTTATAAATTTCTGTGTTAGAATGTGAATCCAAGATAAAAAAAATCATTGAAATCAGAATTTCAGGACTAGACTGATCCTTGGAGGAGATTATGTGGCTCAACTTCACCATATTATAGGTAAGAAAATGGAGACTCAGCCTCAGAAACCAAATTAATCCTTCTGAATTTGGGGTCTCATCATGTAATTCCTTTTCTTAAAGGAATGGCTTCTCATTATGGTCAAGACAATGTTTAAATTCCTCAATGTGGCACATCTGTATAGACTGGTCTCTCCTTACCTTTTGCTCCTCTCTCCAACTCATCCCAGAACTCGATGTTTCTAATCCTACCATCCTTCAGATATCTGATTAGACATCATCTCCTCCAAAAACATCCCCTCTACACTTCCAAGCATGTGTCACCATCCTAGCACATTCACCGCATCCTAACTTCCTTTGAACAATCTGTTTCCATCACTGAACTGGAAGGAATAGACAGTTGAGGGCAGGGACCTGAATCTTATTCATTGTTCTATCCCCACATCTTGATCAGCGGTCTGGCATTCAATATTTAAAATTAATTATTAATTCTCTTTCAACTTGTCTAGTATACTGTAGTTTTTCTGTCAGCTCTCCTTACAAAATCTGTTTTCAGAGGAGAAAAACTAATTCATTCACATCAACGTAAAGGTCACTGATAGTTTTAAATGGCAACTCTTCCTAGAAACATATACATTTTTAGAAGAACAGACTTTTGAGTCACAGGAATGAATTCCCAATGCAGATAATCCAACCATAAATAGTAAACCGTGAGAGTATTTGTGAGGCAAAGGAAGCTTTCCCAGAACCTTCAACTCAGTCACCTAGGTGGCCTACTCTCACCTCACCCTCTCAGAAGAATTACTCCGTTTTTGTTAACAAAAATCAGATCACTTGTTGGTTATTTTTCTCTGTATCAAGCAAATAATTATTCACCCACAGTAGAAATGCCTGAGTTAATTTATAGCATATCTGGTTTTGTTTCAGGGAAGCAATGTTATGGAAGATCAGGATTTGTTAGAAATTGGAATCCTTAATTCTGGGCACAGACAAAGAATTCTACAGGCAATCCAGCTCCTTCCAAAGGTAAGCTATGCTTTATTACCCCAGCCCTATCCGTCCTGTTGGTTTTAAGTCCAGGTGTACAAGGGGTATTAGCATGTAGGACAACATGTCTGTATATTGATGCAACTCCCCAAAGCAGGTCTTCCTAGTCCAGTTAAACATTCAGACTCATAAGCCTACTATGAGCCATAGAAGATTTATCAAGAAAGATGTAATACAAGAAATGCCACTGGCCTGCAGGGCAGCTTCAGAATTTCTCTTCGATGGGATTCTTTATATCAGTACAAACATTAGTCCAGGCTCCCCAAGGTGAAAGATCAGATACAAGAAGACATGATCAATATTGAGTGGGTATAAGAATGTTCCTGGATTAGAAACCTCATGCCCTGTAAGAGGCAATATCTCTTGTAACAACTCCATAGCCCTAGCCTCCAGGGACAAGGGATCTGCCTAATCACGAGTCATCACTCAGGGAACTCCGAAGTATCACATCCCCGTCAGGTATTTATAGTTCATGTGTAAATCTTCCTAGTCCAGATGCAATTTACCAACCAGGCATCATTTTAGCTGTAAGTAGTATGTTACCTAGCAACAGAGTTGACCTTCTAGTTCCAGATAAGGTTTCATAGGCGCCTAAAGCAGGAGGTAGGATCTGAGCACTGGTCTTCAAGAAATGTAGGATTTTTAATTGGTGAGAAAAAGAAAAGGCATTTCAGGGACCAGCAGGAATCCTATAAATACAAATATGGTCCAGGGAACAAATTGCCAGAAGCATTAAGGGATCAGTGATGCTGTGTGATTTAAAATCCAATGGGATTTGCACGACAATGTGAATGTCCTTAATACCACTTCAAGATGGTTTAAGGTGGTAAATTCTATGTTTTGTTTTTTCACCACAATTTTTTAAATAATTTAAAAAAAGAAAAAAAAAACCCAATGTGATTAAAACAATTGGAATGTGGAGTCAGAGATAAAACATAAGAAGTAGGTTGGGTCAGGTTGGTATCAAGCTAAGGAATTTGAAATTTATTCTGTAAGCACTAGGGAATGGACATGACTAGACTGCTTTCGGCCAGTTAATTCTGGAGGCAGTGTAAGAGAGGAATTAGAAGGAGGGAATACTGAAGTTGGGGCATCCAGCTGGGAAAAGATTCAGGGGGCAGGGTCGGAGGCAGGTTAGCAGATGGACAGTCATGGAGGCGTCTAGATACATGAATTTATCATACTTTTGTATTCTCCTGTGCTCCTTTCCTCTCTGAGGAGGTTATAATTTCTCCTTCTTGAAATGCAAAAGATAAATATTAACCACTGTTTCTAAGGAAGTGACATGATGAAGTTTGCCAGCTGACATGAACTGAGTTTCTACTGATAGAAACTTAGCACTTTTGCAAATTCAAGGAAAGTTGAGCATACAGAGGAGTTTAATCATAC